GTCCTCCTCCGCCTCGTGGGCAAATGTGCTGCCATTGTACTGCAACAGAACGGGCGTAAACTCGCCGTTGGATGCTGGGGCGGCAATGCTGCTTTGACTCTGGCCCTCGGACTTGCAGCTGGGCGTGGGCGAGGCGGTTCCGGCGGAATGCTGTGAAGCGTTCTCATCGTCCAATACTGTCTGCAGCGGAACACCTTTGATTTTGCTGATGAGCTGCGTGTAGGCGCAATTGGCCGACGGTTTGTACTTGATGGTGGGCACCGTTATGATCTGCTGGCTCCGCTTCGGACTGCTTGAAGACGCGCTGTTCTCGCCTGTCACATTGGCCTGGTCCGTTGTCGCCGCCGGCACTGAGGCCGCAAACTTGCCCTGCTTGATGGCGGACAGCAGATGGCGATAATATGGTTGTAACTGGCTGCCCTGCGACAGAAAATCAAACTGTGCATTGTTGGCTTGCTTGGCTTTGATAAGGATCTCCATCTGGGCGCCCTGGGTGGCAATGAAACGTGCCGTCTTTTCAATAATTGCATGCTGCTTCATTGTCTCCGGCTACAACATGATGAAATTCGGCAATTGGCATTCGATTTTGATATTATATTTTGGCAAGTGCAATTTGCCTCCTTACCAACTGCATGCCCGGTGCGGGCGCCACGAGAAGACTGGGTGGCAGTGTATAGGGTAGCTCCGATTCCTCGGCCAGCGTCGATGATTCTGACGTTGGTGAGGTGGCAGCATCTGCACCAGATGAACCACATGTTGATTGGCCATCGTATTGGAAATCTACTTGGCTATAGTTGCCACCGGATGTCTCCTGTTGCAGACGCTTCAGATCCTCCTCTGTACGTTTATATATGTGCGTGTGCGTGTGCGTGTGAGTGTGTGTGTGTGGGTGTGTGAAAGTATGTGCGTATGTAGTGTTGGCAAAAATAAGAGAACAAGACAAACGGCGCGACTTTAGTACAAAAAACAACAGCAACAAATGCCGCACGGCACACAAAAGGAATGCACATTAAAGATCGTAGAATAAATATTCTTGACATTGGGTTTTGGTTTGTTAAAAGCTTCAATTTCTGTTTTTCTTTTTTTTTTTTTTTTTTTTTTTCATTTTTAACTTTCGCTGGAGCTCAGTTCTATGTGCAGTCTTCAAGAGATTTTTTTTGGAAGAGTTACAGAGAGCAAGGACTCCCCAAAGTGCCGCAGCAGCAGCATCTGCAAAAAATTGTTGAATTTGTTAAATGTCAAGTGGTTGTTATTTACCTGAACCACGGCGGCACCCACCACAAGGCATTGGATGAAACTTACGTTCATTATCATTGTTGTTGTTGCTGCTGTTGTTGGTTTGGCTTTTGGTTGGTTTTTGATCTTATTTGTGGTTTTTTTGGTTTTTTTTGTATTTGTTTTTTTTTTTTGTTTGCTGCTACTTGCATTTGACTTGATTTCTACGCTTCTATTTGTGCTTGTTTCTTGTATTCTTGTTTCTGTTCTCGTTAATAATTTGTCTTGAATATTGGCCTTGATATTTAGATTTGTTTTTGTTCAATTTGAGCTTGATTTTTCATTATGAAATCGGTATTTCTTGGCACTTAGAATTTAAATAGTAGTACATACAATTCGCATTGAGTAGGCGGTGCATACGGCATGCCGGCAACTGCACTTACCTTGCTGCAGCCGTAGCTCTTCTTCGTTATTGTATAGGAACAGATAGCGCTCCTCTTCGCACAGCTGCTCCGCCCGCTGCTCCTCGGCGCTGAGATATTCAAGACGATTTCCATAGCCACCAGGTGGTGCCTCATAGGTGGAAAGTTCGCACAGCGCTCCACGCACGTCATATCTGTATAAATACGTGTGCGTGTGTGTGCGTGTGTGTGTGTGGGGGTGCGGGTGGGTGTGCGTGGGTGTTTGTGTGGGTGTGTGTGTGTGTGTGTTCCAAAGAAAAGAATAAGAGAAATATAAACGGGAAAGAGAACGTTGTTAGTTAACAAAATCAATATATTGAGATGCTGTTTGCGAGAGCCACGCACACAAACACACACACACACACACGCACACACACACACTCACGCACGCACACACTCGCACACACACACAAATCAAATCAAATTAAAATAGATCTTTCGATCTATTCAAATCAAAAAGAAATATATGCATCTCGATCAAATAGCTTCACACAGTTGTTAAATAAATTCGATTTTTGTTAAGTTAAATGTCTATAATTATGTATAAAAGTATTTATATGTATTTATATATATATATATACATATATAGATATATATGTATATATACATATATATTTGCATATAAATATATCAATTATTATGTCTTAATCATTCATACATACCGCTCCGGTTGCTAAAAAAAAGTTAATTGTTTTACGATTACAGTTTAAAATTGTTTTTAAAAATATATTATAGTTTGCGAAGCACTGAAAAGAGCTGTTATTACAATGAGAAAACGATAGCTTTTACAGTTGCAGAGTCAACCTCGGTTGGGTCTGTTTCGCTGCCCCCCTACCGCCCGGTCAGTCCATAAGTCAGTTAACGTAAGTCAGTTCGTAGGATTGGACCTAATGAAATACTGGACAACTTTCAATATGATTTTGACTATACTCGAGTCTCCAGTAGGGACTTTAAGTTTAAGTTTAGCTTCGTTCAGTTGAGGTCTACGTGCAGTACGGGTTGTAGTTTGGTCTCCTCAAAACATAACTGTATTCTAGGATAAATATGATAGTTATGGCACTGGCAAAGGTACCAGTTGTTCGGTTTTCTTCGTTTGGCACATAGACATATGGGATCCAAGGTGTTACATACATATGTGTATACACATACAAGTACATTATGTATGTGGATATAGCGTATTATAGTATAATTAAGTTTAGTGCCGGTGGCAGGCAACAATTATTAACCTGTCTATTTTGAGATTTACATCGCCCATCCAGGGTATCAGCTGTTTGCCATGATCCATCTCGCGCGCCTTCTCATCGTCACGGAATATCTTGCACGCATAGCCAAAAACGAGCAGCTCCAGTGGGGGTTGTCGCGGATCCGTTGATGCAGCGCCATACGCTAACCCATTGGCGCCCATGCCGGAAGCTGTTGCTGCGCCTCCTGCGGCGGCTCCTGTTTTGCGCAAAATGCCGTTGAGGCTGCCGCCAGCGTACTCACGTACCATGGCGTTGCTGCCGCAGGCACGCATATTGTAGGGCATCATTTATTTATTCGCAATGCGCATTAATTCACATACACACACACACACATACAAACTACGTTAGATTTAAGCACTTTTATATATTGCAATCAGTTCGCATTTTCTGCTGCCAAATGCGTTTTTCTTGTTGATGTTGATATGCATGTGCAAAGACCAGACTAGGGTTGAATAGAAACGTATCGATGTATCAGCCGTATCGATACTTTCATTTCGTACCTCTGCCGATATATGGCTAGTATGCTGATCACGCTAGCAAAACGAACACAATAAATCGATATCGATAACAAAATCGAGCTTGTCGGTCATTTTTTGGCGGTTGCTTTCAAATTAAAAAAAAAAAAAAGATAGTAAATTGTAATAGTTTTTTTATAATCAAGTATATGCCACTTTCAATGCACACGGAAGGGCTAACACTTTAAATTCGGGAACTTTAGTGTGCGTATCTTGGAGTAGATAATATCCCAGTCAACGTAGGCTCCTATCAGATGCCGCTTATTTTGCGCCGAATCCTCGTATGCGGTACGTCCGTGCAGCATTCGAAGATTGTTAAACACAAACACATCACCAGGACGCGTCTTGAACTCCACCGCTTCGGCCTGGGCCAGCTGAAGGAACTTATCGTACGCCTCATACCAGGCTAATGCCTGCTCCAAGGGCACGGTGAAGCGACTGTCACGTTTGGTGGTGTTCTGATTGATGCGTGCGAAGTGCCCATCAATGTCCAGGCAAATGACAGGGCCACGCCACAGACTGTGAAACGGTTTGCCGGCGTCTCCATCGTGTCCTATGTCATACCAGTTAACAGGTATGGTGCGCAGCAGTTCATAATATTCCGGATGCTCTCGACGCATCTTATCGGCTATATAGAAGCCATCGGTCATTGTGTTGGCGCCACCCGGCGACTCCGATTGCACCAGCGTATGCAAAATGTTGATGCCCGCCTTGTACTCATAGTAGGGCATGTCTGTGTGCAGCGGCAGCGGCGTCATCAGGTAGGCATAGTTTCCAGCGTTGGGCTTCGACTTGACCTCAAACACATCCCTGCTCCCGAATGAAAAACCGATTGCATATTATGCGTTCAACATATATCTGATTAGAGTTTACCCGTAGGTGGTGTGCTTGATGTACCCAATGCGTTCGGCCAGATGGCGCACGACTTGGGTATCGTGGGGCGCCTCACGCAGAAGCGCAAAGCCATGCACGGCCAGCGCCTCGAGCCAGGCGCACAGAACTGCGTCCTTCTGAAGCACATCCTGGTAGGCGAATTCGCGAGTTACTGCACCAAACTGCGGCTTGCCCCAAAGCTGAGCCGGTTGCTTGTAAACCTCGTCCAGATATCGTTGCCTGGCCTCCGCGCTGAAGTCGCGCTGCTGCAACCAGTCGAGATCATAGCTAGAGTTGTGAGCATCCTGCCAGTTGATAATAAGCTGCTGACGCTGCTCATCGTAGCTGACGCGCTCCGCTTGTACGTGCAGCGGGCCGCGTTCCCAGTGGCTCTTGCGTGCTCGAGTCGCCGCATGGAAACACTCCGAGCACTGGCAATTGTCACGCAGCCAGATGCTCGGGTACTTGAGTTGCCGTCCGTCTGGCTGAGTTAGCTCCACGTAACGCTGCTCCAACAGTCTGGCCGTAATGCCGTGGCTGGCGTGGCGCTTAAGCTGCCGGCCCAGCAGCTGGCCAATCATGTGTTTACAGCTCAGCATATGTTCAAATACTGAACTGTGAACGGAGAACAGTCGATGGCCGATAATTAAATTCGCTTATCAACAAGTGTAACCACACGTGCGATAAGTCATTGCCATCCAAGTACGCTTATCACTGCTCTCGTGCTGTTCCTCCTCCTCCTTCTACTCTTCCTGCTGCTTCTACGCCTCCTTCAGCCGCGTCTGCGTTTTTTTGTTCGTCCAGTCTTATCACCTGCACAATCGCCTCAGAGCGCTCTGGCCAGCACTCGTTTTGTGTGTCAACTTGGAAGCGACGTTTCGACCCGCACAAACCACACTCCAAGTGTAGGCGAGCGTGTTCGTCCATGCTGGCACTGGGTGCGGCATCTTTTTGGACAGCGGCGGCAGTCTGATTGTGGCCCTTGTTGCGCTTGCTACGCAAACGGCGATGACGGCGTTTGCTGGTTGTGCTTGTTGCCGTCGCAGTGGCTGCTGCCACGGGAATAGCCTGCTGCTGTTCTTGCTTCTGGTCCAGCTTTAGCGAAGTATTAACGCCCGGCAACAGCGGCAAGGAGCAGCGTTTGCATAGTGTGCGCTTCAGCGCCGGCGACCTACCTCAAGCATTGACAACAATTAGCTATAATAAAGGACACAGAACCAAGTCAGAGCTCACATGTGCATCAGCGCCTTTGTGCCCACGTTGCGGCAGAGCTTGCCGTAGTAGGCGGCGAGGGTGTTGTTGTTGCTGTGCGCCATTAAGTTTGACGCCTGATAAAGGAAGTTCATTCTGGAGCAAACTTGACGCTGTGTAAGCGCTTTGCGCTTGCCCTTGTTATTTCCCATGAATGAATGATTGTTTTCGTATATAAAACGCGTACCAAATACGTTAGCTGAATATTTAGCAATAAACGTAAGACACATGTAGTCGGTATTTCATATTCGAACTAATTATCGCTTTCGATTTCGATATCATGGTGTAATCGATAGTTGAAATGATACAGCTCACTTTCACATAAATAATGTGTACCAAAAATTATAGAACGCAGGTTTAGGTTAATTTTCGCTGACAATATACCATGCTTTTTTAGTTCGTTTTTTTTTCTTCAGTTTACTCAATTACTTTAATGTTTTCCATATACGGTACAGTTCGTAAATGTTTTTTAATGAATTAATGTACCAATATGTAGCTAAGTAATGTACCAATTTTGGTACATCTATACCAGCGACATGTGGCAATCGGGCCTGGGGCAACACTGAACAGTTGCCATTCACTGTGCCACACGGCCACGCCGAACAGCTGGCAATTTCCCGCCTTAATTCGATCCCGCAGCTGTGGAGCATGCAGGCCACAAAGAGCGGAGAGCCCTGTTAGAAAGTGCAAACAAAAGCGAATACAACAAAATGCAACGCGCAACTAGGGCCATTTAAGTGCCGCAACAGCAATTAAGTTAATTGACGCTTAAGGGCCGCAAGTGTCTCAACCTGACCTATATAACACATACTTGTATTTGAAATATTGTTTTGTGTGTCTTTGTACCGATTTGTTACTCTTCACGCAGCGGAATTAACTGTGCGTGCAGCGAAAATGTTCATACAGGACCTAAAGAATGACTTTTACAGACAACTAATTGGCAAACGAATTTTGATCATTGTCAACTATGACGTCGACGCGATCTGCGCCAGCAAAATTCTGCAGTCGCTTTTTAAGTACGATCACATGCTGTACACTGTGGTGCCCATTATGGGCGTAACTGGATTGCGACGTGCCTATTCGGAGCATCAGGGCGATGTTAAATATGTGCTGCTGATCAATTGCGGCGGATGTGTGGACATTGTGGAGCTGTTGCAGCCGGCGGAGGATGTCACATTTTACATATGCGATTCTCATCGGCCGCTGGACGTTTGTAATGTTTACAGCGATCGGCAGGTTTGCATTTTAGGCGATCCAGCCCTAGAGGAGAACATACCAGCATTTGAAACTATATTCTATGACTCGGATGGCGAGGATGAGGACGACGATGAAGATGGGGACGATGGAGACAGCGGTGCTGGCGATTCTGATGACGGTCAAGCTGATGGCGACAGCGTCGAGAGGGAGCGCGCGCCCAAGCTCAGCCGAATGCAGCGGCACGAGCAGCGAGTGATGCGTCAGAGGGCAAGACGACAATGGGAATCGGAACGGGATCGCATCATGTTCGACTATACACAATTCAGCTATTATGGCCGATCAACGGCCTTGTACATCTTCGAGCTAGCCTGGAAGCTGTCCAAGGACAACATGGATCTGCTGTGGTGGGCCATTGTAGGCATCAGCGAGCAGCTGCTGCTGGGCAAGATCGAGAGCGGCGCCTATACACTCGAGCTGGAGCACATACAGTCGCACGTGTCGCGTCTGACCAACAAGACTAATGATCAAAACACAATGAGTGCCTCGAAGATCAGCTTTGAGAAGGATCTACACTTAGTGCTATACAGACACTGGACCGTAACCGAGTCAATGCGGTAAGTGAAGACAAGGAATCTCCAATTGGTCGGCTTATTTGTCTCTTTTGTTGTCAGCTATTCGCGCTACTCCGCCTGTCAGATGAAGCTGTGGACCTTGAGGGGCGAGAAGCGTCTACATGAGCTGCTCGTCGAAATGGGCCTGCCACTGGTGCATGCGCGCCAAACATACAGCGCCATGGATCTGGTTTTGCGCAAAGAGTTCTATTCTATGGTGGAGCAGCTAGCCGAGAAGTATAGCATACCAGATATTGTCTATGGCACCTTCACGCTCAGCTATGGCTATCGCAGCCGTTATGCTGCCGCCGACTATGTCTATGCTCTGTTGGCAATACTGCAGTCGGTGAAGAAGCATAAAACACCTGAGGACTGTTTCATGGAAGCGTCGGATGCGCTGACCCGCCAGCATAGGCAGCTACTTAATGTCGGCATCGACAATGCCAAGCTGCTGCATGCGGCCATCTTTCGGCAGGTGCAGAGCTGTCTGGAGGCGCATCAGGTACATTCGACCGGATCCTTTTTCTATTATGTACTACAGGAGGAGCACGCCTTCTTCTCCTATCCATATGCGCTAGCACTGCTCGCGAAATTCGTGCTGCATGGTCATGTAGCAACGACGAGAGTGCGCCAGGCACCGGATCTACCGCTCATTGCCACCTGCCCGCTGGATGCGACGCAGGGTATGTGCCTGCTGGTGGGCATAGCGCCAGTGCGCGAGGACTCGCCAAAGAACTTTTTTGGCAAGGCGTTCGACCAGGCGGCACAGAAGAGCAAGACCAGCCTGCTGCAAGACTTCTTTGAGCCGTCCATCGTTCAGCTGCGTCAGAGCGACCTGACCCGATTTCTAGATGCGTTGACCGTGCTCCTTACATAAGCTCATTGCGCTCCCCTGTGTTTTTTAGATGTAGTCTCTAGTTTAGCCTTTAAGACAGTTTATTCATACAACGACTTCTGCTAATCCAGCCAATTTTATTTGACATAATCTAATTTATAAACCACAATTGTTTTTAGTAAGATAGCCTTTTTTTTTTTTTGCCAGCGTGCTTAGGACTCCCAGTAGAGAATAATATATATATATATAGCATAAGACTTCAAACTATGTATAACGGACCTTAGAATTGAATATTTAGAAATATATTAAGTCATGCGTTTGTTGCATTCGATTTGAAATTGTGTAAAGCAGACTTTAAATATACAATACATGTGTTTACCTTAGAGCCAAAGATTTGGTCTATTGATAAACTTCCAAGCGCAAATGCGGAAAATTGGTAGAAAAACGATGTATAAAACTATTTTGCCTTTTAGCACGATATCTCAAACAAATAGGATTCCTTAAGCGAAACGAAAATACTGTAGTCGAGACTGCCCGACTTGAGATACAGTGTCCTCAGCTCTTAAATGAGCCAAAATCTTATATTAGACGAATATTGGCTGGAAGACAATGATTAGTTGGAACCTCGACCTCAATTCTCTAAGTTGGACGGGTTCATATAAACGGATATGGCCAGATCGACTCTGCTATATATAATTTGCGATTGAAATAAATCCTGCCTTTGAAGAAACAAATTAACAATGTTGCCCCATATGCATCTCAGTCTTTGTAGACATGGAGATTTATACATTACGAACAGGAGGTAATTAAAATCAGACTACAAAAAAAAAAAAAAATAACTAACTGCTAGCGCTCCACGGCCACTTGTTGCTCCAGGCATTGCAATGGTTCTCCATGCAATATGCGCGCAGCACCCAAGCACGCCGCATCGTCATAGAAGACAGCATACTGCCCTGGTGTGATAGCGCGCAGTGGTGCATCCAGCTGTACTTCGAAGGGACGCAGTTGGCATTCGACCAGGGGTTTTGTGTGCTGAAAGCGAAAACGGCAACGCAGGCTGCCTTTTGAGTCCAATTGCTGACGTGCCCGGTTGCACAGCCAGTTGAGTTCGCCGATGTGAATGCGGTTGCTGTGCAGCGCGGGATGTTCATGGCCAGCGGCCACATAAATGATATTGCTGGCTGCATCTTTTCGTGCCACAAAGTACGGCTGCAAATGCGAGCTTAGCCGGCAGCGCTGTCCCACGGTCCACTGGTGAATGCCCTCGTGTGTGCCCACTACAACGCCGCTATCGACATCCACAAAGTGGCCCGGTTTGGAGCTAATGTACTGTCAAAGGTGATAATTCCGATTCAAAGTTAGTTGACCATATTTGTGCGTCTATTGGATTACCTCCTGTATAAAGGCCTTGAAGTCACGCTTGCCCACAAAGCAGATGCCGGTGCTTTCCCGCTTTTCGGCCAGCCGATGCAGCCCAATGCGGCGCGCTAACTGCTTAACCTCTGTCTTCTTCAGTCCACCCAGCGGGAACATTGTGCGCTGCAGTGCTGCATGTGCTATGCCAGCTAGAAAGAAGGTCTGATCCTTAAATGTGTCGGCAGGTATGAGCAGGCGTACATCTTCTGGTGTCTGGCTGGAGCTATGCTCCAAAAAGTCTCCCAGACTGTTGCGGGCATAATGGCCAGTGGCGACGGCATCATATTGCAACGTATGCAGGGCGTGCCGATGGAACAGATCGAACTTTATATGCTTGTTGCACAATATGTCCGGATTGGGCGTCAGGCCCTGCTGGTAGTCATCTAGAAACTGACTAAACACCGCTGTCCAGTATTGCTTCACATAGTTCACTTGGCGTAGCTCGATTTGCAGGTGCCGGCAAGCCAATTCCGCATCCTTTAAATCCTGCTCTCCGCTGCAGCGGCCGGATTCGTCGTGCTCATCCCAGTTCCGCATAAACACGCCGAGCACATTGTAGCCTCGCTCCTTGAGCAGATGGGCGCTGACAGCGCTATCCACGCCTCCGGACATGCCCACCACAACATTTCGTATCATGATAATGTTGCCCACATTTAGCCAGCCTGTTATCACAAACGTATTTTAACATTACACTGTTTTGGCTTTAAGTGTGACCACGTTGGCCAATGTTGTATTTTTCGGAGTCAAAATGGAATGCATATATGTGCTGGTATTTTTTGGGGTATTCCCAAATATTGCTTGGGTTTGAAAATGCTTTCAATGCTCGTTAGCAATACTGATTGGAATTCACAGTCTTTTACCAAAAATAAACAATTATACACTTTTCAAATCGGATTTTGAACTCCATTGTACTAACATTTTCTTAAAAAAGTTGTACTTAGTCTATTTATTGATTCAGATGAAGAACTAAGTATACAGAAGATATACTACGATATTGACGAAACTTGACGGCTGGAGCCAGTACATAGACTGAAGTTAATCAGAATAACAGTTTCCATAGAAACTATTGGTCGAAAAATTAGATATTGTATGGACATCGTTTTATTTCCAACAGATTGTACATTAACTAAAAGAGCATTATTTTATTCGTTACTATAGATATAGCTGACGGGTACCAACGATGGACCAATGAGTTTGGTATGAAGACAATAAGTTTTTAAACTTGGCTAGTTAAGTTTACGAACTTACGAGCTTTTAATATTTTTGAATACATTACTTCCAACTTGACAGATCGAAAAATCAAATAATTATTTATGTCCTCGTATACGTGATGGACGAAAAACGAAAATTTCGTTTCAGAACGCCCCTTGTATTTGTGTAAAATACCGTTACTTTTGGCATTTGCTCGCTTTGTGTCAACTGGTCACACGGCCGCTGCCTCTGCCTACATATGCCGTATTTACAGTTAGTTCGTTTGTCGTCTTTGTCGCGTTCGCATGCGAGCTTTCGTGTGGAGCTTGATTTTGTGTTTTTAGAAGTTCAACGAATTTCTGATTTTTCGAAGTGCGTGCACACGTACATAAACAAAAACGTTGTCAAATAATTTTTTTCAAGTGCTTGGGTATGTGAATGGGTTTAATAACCGTGAAAAAAACATAAGTAAATTGCAGTATCTGCAGCACTGTGCGTCAATTTTTTTTTTGTTTTTTTTTTTTTGTTGTTTTTACGAACTGTTCACTTTTATTTAATGTTTATAATTCCTTTTAGAGTTCCTCTCGTACAGCTGTTGGAATCATAAAGTTCAATTGAAAGCGACCACGAATAAGCTGCGTCGAGCATCAGTTAAAAAGGTAAGCGCATTTTTAAATTCCCGTTCAATTGTCTGTACGCAAATTGAGGTTATGTTTGCAGCGTTGATCAACTTGCTGTGCTTACGGTTTTTGAGGTTATGATTGGCGGATTTAGTTTTGTTTGCACGAGCTTTAACGGGCGTATTTAGAAATTCAAATTGAATCAAAACGGGGCGGAAAGAGCGGCACCTAAGTAAACATAGCTATAATTTATAACATATAAATACATATACATACTCAATAGATGTACATATAACATGTGTATAAATGTTTAAGCTGGCCTTCGGGCAAAAAAAAAAAACGTTTGTAATTCTTTGGCAATTGAAAAGGTTTTGAATCGATGCCAAAAGTTAATTATTTCCAGCGTTTAACACAGCCTTATTTAATTGAAAACTTTTTACTCGCGGTACCCAACGGAGCTGTCAAAACCACATATCTTGCGTTGTCTAAAAGGCGAATGCGTACAAAAGAAAATATTTTCTAAAAGGTTATTTAAGCAGCTTGGTCAAAGAACAGTCAAGAATGGCCACAAAGCAAAGCCCTTAAATTAAGAATTAAATACAAATACAATAATAACAAAAAATGAAAACAATTGCCCATTGCCGCAGACCTAAGCATTACAAGCAAAAACATCGAGCCAAAATCCAAGCTGGGGTCGTGTTAATTGTTGGCCAACAACTTAACTTTTAAAAGTGGGCCTGATTGGACCAAAGCAGCCATAAGCTGCGGGCAGATCCTTTAAGTAAAATAAACACATTTCAACTTTGAAATTTCTAGCCTCTGTATTTTGGGTCTGCTTCTGGGTTTTCTTTCCCTTTTATTTATTTATTTTTTTTTTTGTTTATTCTAGTGCAATTCAAGTTGTGCTTGAACTTTGTCTAGGCTTGAAAGCGGGCCAGAGACATTTGCCAAGGTTGTCCAGCAATTTATTTTATATATGTATGTTTTTTTTTTTGGCTGTCTGAGTGTACTCATGTCATACATATGGTATATATTCTCATACATAATATATAAAAGTGTCCTTCATGAGAAAATGAAGAAATATTGACACTTTACGCCGTGAACTTTTGTTTTTTTTTTTTTTATAGCAGAACTAAAAAAAAAAGAGCACGAAATGAAAAAATATATAGACCAAAATATTGCACAATAGTTAAATATATATAGATATAGTGCGGGGTAGGGGGATGTGGCTAGGTGCAAATGCATAAAAATAGATTTGCTAGGGAAACGGAAACGGAAACAATTAGGAAATAGAAACAGCGACCGGAAATGTAAGCAGCAAACTAGCTACAGTCGACCAAGGGGCGGGGCAATCCGGCAATGTATATGTGTATGTATGTCGGTGTGTGTGTGTGTGTGTGTGCAGAGCTGAACAGGTGTATGTATGTACGTGGAAGAGAGTTCCTTTGGCCACAACAATTAAACGAGACTCGAAACGGACGACACATTAATCAAGAGCACGCCAAGGATATAGAGGTCAGAATGGGTGGTTGGGTGGCGGGGCAGGGGGACGCAAGTGACAAATAGGCGTAGCTGCAGGTCAGTCAAAGCTACAACAACAATTGGGGTCCTTCTCGCCAGTTTCATCAGTTAAATGAAAACATAAACCCAAAAGAATGGAAACAGAAACGGAAACATGGTTGGCCCCCAAAAGGGGCATCTCAGACTGTTCAGCAGCAAAACGGGTTTTGAGGTTTTGGGGCCACTTTGCTTGATTCATTTAGCAATTTGCCAGACATAAGAACATGGAAAATTGTATCGCTCAGCCCCTTTTGGGCACAGCACATCCTTTGGCCTGGCAACCTTATTTCTTATTTTTCTGCTCGTCGTTGAGTTGATTTTGTAGCTTCTAGGTCGCTTTTCAGTTGGCAGTCAGGCAGGCAGTTTTGTATTCGCGAATTTTTGTGTAAAAGCAAAACAAAAACAATTTCCTCCAAATTTACGAATGTATTTTGTTTATGAAATGACGCACGTGGCGGTCGGCTCAGGTTGCGGGTAGCGGGTAGCGGGTGTGCACTGTGCACTCAAAGCGCTGGGCGTGGTCGCACTTGAAAACTTTAGCAACTCTTGTTCTTGTTGCTGTTGCTGTTGCTGTTTGTTGTCGTTTGTAGCTGGCTACGCTTATTAAATTTGTTTGCTCCGTTTTTTTTTTTTTTTTTTTTTTTTGGGAGGGGAGCTGCTTGTCATAAAGCTGAAGACAGCAGCTCCTTCTCCCACTCCCACTCCAACTCCGAACGAGAACTTTTGGTTAGTATCTTGTTGCGAAATTGTGTCCCATGCAGATGATTTCAAGCTGAAAACAGGCTCGCTCAGCGCTTGTCAGGCAGCCACATGCTCGATTCTTGAGTTTGTATTCATTTAAGTTCTTGTGCATGCAGTTAAGCTTTTTAGCTTTGATTACGGTTAATTGCCTAACATCAGGTTATTGTCAGACACGGGGGCATCGAATGACGGGCTCAGCCCTTTAAGATAATGGAAAGTTCTTAACTTGAACAGAACATATCAAAGTACAGTGGTCGCTCGATTCGTAATTTTAGTATTTTAAAAAATATGGTATATCTTATAAAACTCTTAGAATATATTTTATATGAACAAATAATTCAGAAATTAAAATTATCCGCACCAGGTCTTTGTGGGGGGCCACAAAGTTTGAGGCTTGAATATAATTCTAGTGATATTTTCATATGAATGTTGGCTATAAAATGACAGATACTTAATCTGTGTATACTATTTTAGATGCTGCATGTCAAATTTAATGACTTTAGCCTTTAAAACCTTTGAAAACTTTAAAGGTTCTAGGATCGACGCGTTCGTGCACACAGACGGATGGACAGAGACAGACAGACATACGGACAGACAGACAGACAGATAGACAGACAGACAGACAGACAGACAGATAGACAGACAGACGGGCATGGCTAGATCGTTTCGGCTATTGATGCTGACCAAGAATATATATATATATATATATATATATATATATATATATATATAAATACTTTATGGGGTTGGATATGCTTCCTTCTGCCTGTAACATTAATTTTCACAAACCCAATTTACCCAGTTTACCCATTTTCGGGGTATAAAAAGAAACTTCGTGACTGTTGGGTTAAACCCGATTCGTAGCCCTGGTTTTCACACAGGAACCACCTCTTGAACCACAGAACAGAACATTTTGGTATTTGCAAAACTGTAAACATTTTAACAAAATCAGTAATCATCAGTAATTTAACAAATTGAATTCGGCTACTAGTATTAGTAATAATAATATAAATATTAATAAAAATGGACTGCAGGGTATTTAATAGTCTAGCAGTGATGACTAATAGTATTCTCTTTTATGAAAAAACGTAGATAAAACTTTGCTGAAAGGAAAGTTTTTCGTAGGAATACTTCAATATTAACCCGAAATGCAACGATTCAGAGTATTTGCATTGTTGCAAATGTAAGAGGTTCTAGTCGGGAATACCCTGAACCCTCTTATTCCAAAACCAAATGCGGCTCGCGCAACGCGCTCATTTGAAGTAATAAAGAAAAATTTGAAAAAAAAAGTTGCCTTGGCAGGGTTCGAACTCGCAACTGACCGCATTACATTAAAAAAAATGAGTTTCCGCGGTAGGGTTTGAACCGCACCACTTGCGACTGCCTCTACTCAACAGCCACACACGTATTTCTTAACCGATCTTAATGAAGTTTTCTACAGTATATCTTACTGTACTATAGAACATTTGCGTATTCCAAAAAAGTCAATTGCATCAAAATTGTGGCTTTAATAGTTGGGTAATACAAGTTGGGTTATTAACTTGATTTATAGCTATGCGTTGGTAGCGGGGAGGTGGCAATAGGTATAAAACGAAAGATACTTGATATATATATATATATATATAATATTCTAGAAGCAACATATCAAGTTTGCTGTCTAACTCTTAATATTTACCCAATTTGCTCAAAAAACAGGATGTCGATATCGATTCTTGGAAATGGAGTTAGTTATCGATTATCGGAAACAACCTCGATCTGTGCAGGCACTAGGAGGACCTAAAGCTAAGATTTCAAGTCTCTAGCTCTTATGGGTTCTGATATGCTTGCGTTCATACATACAGACAGACGGTCGGACGGGCAGATGGACGGACAGACGGACAGACAGACAGACAGACAGACAGACAGACAGACAGACAGACGGACATGGCTAGATCGCTATGGCTATGGATGCTGGTCAGGAATATATTCACTTTATGGGGTCGGAGATGCTTCCTTTTGCCTGTTACATACATTTGCACAAATACATAATACCCTTTTTACCCACTTTCAATGGGTTTAGGGTATAAAAAGCACGCACACATACACGCACAGACATAACACACACACACACACACACACACACACACACACACACACACACACACACACACACACACACACACACACACACAAGCACACATGGTAAAATTTGCTTGCCATTGGGTTGTCAAGCTGGCTAAAATGTAATTTAAATCATAAATATAATTTTCATTTAATGAATTGGATCATGCAGCAAGTTCGTTGAGTGTATGTGTCTGCATGTGTGCGCTCTTCACAGCAAAAGACACACGCATGCACACACACGCACACATATGCATGTGGACACTTGCAGCCGCCGTCTGGTGGCATCTCTGACGTGCAACAAATAAGACTCAAAGGCAGCAAAGATGAAAAATGTTGTAAAGCAGCAACAACAAATGACTGAAAAACTTTTCACATGAGAAACTTTCGCACCCCACACACAAACCCATTTGGCATGCACCCACCTGCCCCCAAATCCCCAACCACCTCTTTCGCTGTTTTTGGCATCATCAACTTGATTAAGTGCACAACTTTGCATTGATGTTTGCTATGGAATATATGAATAGCTGGGATCTGCTAATGCTAAAGATAGCAAGTTTCCCGAAAAAATATTTAAAAGCTTTTACTGCAGCAATATTCATATACTTTTGATCAAGGAGGGCTCGGGCTAATCCCGT